AAATGGAGTATTACTTGGTAATCAAAAAGAAGGAAACCTCGCCATTAACAACTACATGGATAGAACTAGAGAGTACTATGCTAAGCGAAATTAGAGAAAAACAAGTATCGTATGACTTCACTCATATGAGGAATTTAAGATACAAAACAGATTAACATAAGGGAAGGGAAGCAAAAATAATAGAAAAACAGGGGAACAAAACATAAGAGAAAATAATATAGAGAACAAACAGAGGGTTGCTGGAGGGGTAATGGGTTAAATGGGTAAGCGGCATTAAGAAATCTAGTCCTAAAAAAAAAAGAAAAAAAAAAAAAAAAAAAAAAAAAAAAAAAAAAAAAAAAAAGAAATCTAGTCCTGAAACCACTATTGCACTATATGCTAACTTGGATGTAAATTAAAAAGTAATTGGTTTTTTAAAAAAATGAATGCACTTAACACCAATGAATTGTACACATAAAACAGTTAAAATGGTAAATTTTGTTATGTATATTTTATCACAATAAAAAACTAAGTTATGGTCTACAATCTTTTCTTTCTCCTAATGTTCTTCCTAAAATAAATATTAAACCTTTTCAAGAAGGGAAAAGAATTGGGCATATGATCTGCTTAGTCCTTTATGTGTCCCCAAAGCAGCTGATTATTTACCTGTCTAGCCAGGACTAGAGATGTAAACAGATTTCCTCTTATAAATGTACCACTCATCAAATCAATACTTCACCCAAACACACACCCAGACTCCACTAGAAGTACCTCTTTCTGTTTTGGGGGTCTCATCCCATCTGTTTTTACGAGCACTGGAAGTTGCACCTCCGTGGCCTGGTGTTGCATGGCCTGGCGTATCGCCGCGTCCAGGAGTAGCAGCTCCCGCTGGTGTGTGGCTAGGTGTAGGATCCCATATTTTTGAGCCTGGGGTTGCTCCAGGAGTCTCACTTCCCTTTGCACGACCTGGTGTCTCATCCCATCTTAAGGAAGGGGTATGTCCAGGGGTCTTAACAAAGCAAAAAAATACCTTTATTTCACACACCTACACATTCACATAAAAATAACTAGAAAATTTCTATTAGGAAGATAGTAAACAAATAAACGTTTTAGTCTTCTTCTGTATAAATGAGAGTAAACTACCCTGCTTAAAAGATACCTACTTCCTAGCAAATATGTCTAAAGACAATGTAAAGTTTTAATTTTGAACAGTTTTGAATAAAGCCCTAGCTTAAAAAAAATGTATTTTGGGTTATGAACCTTGGATATGCCATTAATATCTCTGTAGCTTTTAGAAAACCACTAAGCTTTCTCTGTCTGCCATCTGCAATCTAAACATTTCAGCTTTAATGATATCATTGCTACTTCCCAAACTAGGTTTAGAGACATATACCTAGAAGTTCTCACACTAAGGAAACACTATTTTTGTGTTTGTGTTCAATTTTGTGTGTGTTTTTAGTTAACATAAGTATGTTTTGGATCACCTGGGTCATAAGTAGATACTGCCACATAATTTTAATCCTTGAGATTTAAAATCACATTTGTAGTATAATTCTAACTGAAGTTGACAAGATTATTAGTGAAAAAAGATTAGAAGTGGAGTGAAGTAACCAAAGGTTCCACTATAGTTTGAACAGAGACAAGTGGTGGGTGATTCAGGGCATCAGACAGCCCATGATAACAAAACAACCTGCACAGTGGAGACAATACAGTATCAAACTATCAGGTGGTTCAGTGTAAGCCACACAAAATTTGATTTAAGACTCAAGTATTCCACATAGGTTTTGTAATATACCTTTATGTATTTATTTTAAAGCTGAATGCTCTCTATCCAACACAAGAATTCTACCCAGCTTTACACCTGCAAATTTACATGAATACCATAATTAAGACTCAACAGTTTTTTTCTTTTAAAAAGATTTTATGTATCACTCAGGGTTGAGAAATTTTCAATTAGGTGAATGAAGCACATGAATTGTTCAAAATCTCATCTTGGCAACTGCTCCTCCTGCTGAATCAGGGAAGAAATAAATTTCTTAAGTATTTATTCATTTATTTTGAGAGAGAGAAAGCATGTGCACACACACAAGCAGGCTAGGAGAGGGAAAAAGAGAATCCCAAGCAGGCTCCGTGCTGTCAGCACAGAACCAGACACGGGGCTCAATCTCATTAACCAAGAAATCAGGACCTGAGCTGAAATCAAGAGTTTGATACTTAACGGACTGAGCCACCCAGGCACCCTGGAAATAAATTCATTCTATTATCCATTATAATTCCCACAGTTTTGGGGTGCCTGGGTGGCTCAGTTGGTTAGGTGTCCAACTCTCAATTTCAGCTAAGATCACGATTCCAAGGTTGTGGAATCAAGTCTTAACGTCAGGCTTTGCGCTGAGCATGAAGTATGCTTAAGATTCTTTCTCTCTCCCCTTCTGCCCCTCTCCCATACTCATGCTCTATTAAAAAAAAAAAAATTAAATGCCTATTAAACATCCAAATAAAAGTGTTAGGTCCAAGGAACACAGGACATGAATGGGATAGATTTGTAAATCTGGGAGTAGTCTCACGGAGATGGTATAGGAAGATAGAAATGAGAGGAAGGAGTGCTTTTAGATGGAAAAGAGGTCCAAGGACTGAGCACTAGAACACCCCCAAAGTTAAAGGAAGCCGAGGAAGATCTCACCAACAAGACAGGAGTCAGTTAGGAGAGTATTAGGAGAATCAAGAGAAACTCAAGTTCAGAATCTAAGAAAAGGGAATCAAGTGATAGCAAATATCACTGATATGTGATAAATGAAATGATATGATATGTATAGGATATGAGGATTGAAACTTGATCTATGGATTTACCAAAAGGAGGTCAAATGACCTTGACAAGAGATGTTTTGGTGGAGTGGTACAAGCAAAACACCAGATAAGCAGAATGCAAGTATAGACAACTCATTCAAAGCATTTTGCAGTGAAAAGTCAGAAATGGCTAGAAGGGGATGTGAAGATCAAGGAATGGTTTCCTGTAGTTTTCTGGTTTTAGAAGGAAAACAGGTAAAATGTGTTTGCTGATAATAATCTAGAGAAAAAACTGATGTTACACAAAAGTCTCTGAGTAGTAAGAAGAGATGGGAAATAGTACATAAGCAGAAGTTGTTCAACTTGCATCAACACCTCATTACAGAAAGAAAAAGTAGATGAAACCAGAAACAGGCATACTGGTAGATTTCATAGTGGGAACATGTTTAAGTTTTTCAATTATTTCTACTTTAAAAAGGAAAAATAGGAATTAATATCATCATATAAAAAGCTGTTAAGAAGGTATTAGAAGATTGAAATAACAAAGAAATTATCTGGGAGTGAGAGAGACAGAGAATTACTGCTTAATAGAGTTTGCTCAAGGTGATGAAAAAATTTTGAAAATAGCGGTGACAGCTGTACAACATTGAGTGTAATTAATGCCACTAAATTGTACATTTAAACATGGTTAAAATGACAAATTTTACATTATTAATGTTTTATCACAAGTTTTAAACATTTTAAAACAGGGGTGCTTGGGTTGCTGAGTCTGCTGAATGTCCAACTTCGGCTCAGGTCATAATTTCACGGTTCGTGAATTCGAGCCCCACATGGGCTCACTGCTGTCAGCACAGAGCCTGCTTTGGATCCTCTGTCCCCCTCTCTCTCTGCCCTTCCCCCACTTGTGCTGTCTCTCAAAAATAATTAATTAACATTAAAAAAATTTTTGAGGGGTGCCTACATGGCTCAATTGGTTGAATATCTGACTTCAGCTCAGGTCATGATCTCATGGCTCGTGAGTGTGAGCCCCGTGTCAGGCTCTGTGCTGACAGCTAGAGCTTGGAGCCTGTTTCCAATTCTGTGTCTCCCTCTCTCTCTGCCCCTCCCCTATTCATGCTCTGCCTCTCTCCTTCAAAAATAAATGAACGCTCAAGAAAAGTTTATTTTTATTTTTATTCTTTAGAATAAAAACAACCCCCAAAACGGTTCTCTAGGAAAATAAACTGACCAAGGAAATGCAGTAGCACTGCCAATGTGACACCTGTGGTCAGATGCTTAAATTATCCATCTAGAAAATAAGGAAGATCATTGTATTATACTTAACCTCCACAATGTGACGTACTGAAATATCTATTTTAATATTCCAAAAGGGACATTCCTTTATTCCAGGTTATGGACTTTACTGTGTCTTCCCTCCAAAACTTACGTTGAAGCCCTAACCACCTATGTGTATTTAAAGATTGGGCCTTTAGTGAGATAATTAGGTTAAATAAGGTCATAAGGTTAGGGCCCTAACCTGATAGTACCAATGTCATTAGAACAGACACCAGAGGTCCCTTGCTCCCTCCATGTGCACACAGAGAAAAGGCCATGTGAGGACACAGCAAGAAGGCAACCATCTGCAAGCCAAAAAGAGAACGCTCACCAGACATCAACCCTGCTGGCACCCTGAGGTTGACTTTAAGCCTCTAGAACTGTGAGAAAACAAATGACTACTGTTTAAACCACCATTCTCTGTTCCCTTGTTAGGTCACCAAGAGTAGACTAATACAGTACATGAGAGGGATAAACTAAAAATAATAACAATCATAAAAAACAAAAATAAATTACCTCTGCTTGATCCCAACTTGATAGTTTTTTAGGAGTGGCACCAGGAGTCTGATCGGCTGTTTGATCCCAACGCCGTTTTCGTTTTGAGGGAGGCTGGGACGCTGCTGCTCCATTGACAACTTTTAATTCTCCAGCTTTAGCTTTTTCTGCTAGTTGTTGCCTAATTTCTCTCTAAAAATATTTGAATAAGCACTAAGTATCTCTAAAATATTTTCAACATATTCCCATATAATCAGCATGGTCATTTCCATTTAATGTCATTTTCTTCATTCTCTGTTCTATGCTGCTACTGGTAGTCCCATTCTTTATATCTTTTTATTTTCTGTATTTCTAGTCTTTATACAATGCCCTTCTGCACAACAGATAAGTACAGAATTCATAACACAGAGCATCTTACTTTAAATACACTTAAATGAAGTAAAATCTTCACTGGTGGACAATCAAAATGCTTTAAAAAAATTTTATGTTTATTTGAAGGAGAGCGAGCAAGAGAGCAGCAGAGGGGCAGTGAGAATCTGAAGCAGGATCTGCACCACTGATGCAGAGCCTGACACAGGGCTCAAATTCATAACTGTGAGATCACAACCTGAGGTGAAACCAAGATTTGGATGCTTAACTGAGTTACCCAAGTGCCCCCAAAATGCTTTCATTGAAAAACAGAGTCTTATTTAAGTTTTATTTAAAACTCTGATGAATAGCAATTAACATCATGTAGTAAGATAGAAAAGTGGCAAAAAGTGAAAACTTAAAAATTTTCACTACACAGAGGTGCCTGGGTGGTTCAGTTAAGCGTCTGACTCTTGATTTCGGCTCAGGTCATGATCTCGTGGTTTGTGAGTTCAAGCCCTGTGTTGGACTTTGTGTTTGTATCATGGAGCCTACTTGGGATTCTCTCTCTGCCCCTCCTCTGCTCACACTCATGCTCTCTCTCTAGCATTAAAACAACTGTAACTATGTAAATTATATACAATGTAATCATAACAAATCCATTTAATTTATCTTATGATTTTAAAGTAAAGTTTAAACCCACTTAATCCATATAACAAATTATATAATTGTAATTAAGTTATAAAGGTTCACTATTAAAACAAATGAAGCAATCACCACAGGCCATTAGGAATCCTTCAGTCTTCTCCACCCATATCCAAACAGAATCTTATGGATGAACTGAAAAGGTTTTTCAAGGAATGCTTTAACTATCTGACTTTGCCTTTACACATCTATTTTGGACACACACCACCAATCCTCCCTACAAATATATCCACCAGGTCTGTGTATGTGTATATATACATACATGCGTACACATATATATATACAGCCAAAAGGCCAAGGGCTAGAAAAGGACATAGAAATATGAAAGTTTAATTTGGGAGGAGGCAGAATTTTGGGTAAGGTTTCCTTCTCAACTTAATTTTTATTAATACTATTAAGATATTACTCGTGTAGCAAATAAAAAGGAAACACAAAAGTATCAATTTGAACTTTCTTTACATTATATCACAACCACTAAAATAAAAATCCGGTTCACATACCTCTTCTTTGGTTAAATGCTGTTCTCGCATTACATCCATGTAAGTCCTAGCATTCATTTTAGGATCAGGGGTCTTCCCTCCTGCAGAAAAGAACAGCAACAGGACAAGAGTACAATAAATAAAAGATAATTAGGTTCAACTGATTTATCTTCCCTGCTCTAATATTATGTTATTCCATAATCATTTAATTTATTTTTTGATGGAAAACTTTAATAATTATACATCTTACTTTTTATTGAGTTTGCTGATCAATTTAACCTGTTTGAACACAAACATATCTACAGCAGTTTAAAACAAATATTTTAATGCATATAAAAACAAAATGACAGCACAGTTTAGAGTCTTCAGTAGTGATGGGTTCCTGGGTTGCTAATCCGGAATACGTACACTTTCGTGCCTTTGTCTCCATCAGCAGTTCTGACTTCAAGCAGCAGAATAGAAGCCTAGAAAATTATCTCTTTACCATTAGTAACACTTTGGAAAGATATTTATATTCAAAACATTACCTGTTGCAAGCTGTTAAAATCCTGACTACAAATAACTATAACTAGATAAGTTCTCCATACAATGTTCTAAAACAGTTATAGTTTAGAAAATAGTTTAGACTTTTAAAAATACACCTATAATCTGATTCTGATCCCATGTTACTAAAAAGGGCTTCATTCTTTTTAAGTTTTGTTGGCTCCAAAACATTTTTATTTTCTTAGAAAGTATAAATTACAACTGGAATATTACTTGAAATATATTACTTCTACCAGTTATGTTGCACACTGAAGAAAAGTGGTGTACAAAGAGATGTGTTAGTCTCTTGGTTAAAGTTTCAGTATTTGCTTTTCAAACTTCAAAATATCTTAAAGAAGCCCAAACAGTACATAATAAGATTCAGAGGCACACTGAGTTTTAGAAATGTGGTAATTTGCTATACAAGTAGTATAGCATCACAATTTAGGAAAAAATAATAAAATTCTAAGACATTTCCTATGCTGAAGATCATGCCCAATTGATAGTGTCATTCTTTCTGACACTAGCTCTGATAAGACTTCCTTTGGAATACTTTTTCACCATAATCTAGAGAGGATGTGTTGAACTGCACCCTTAAGAATGCAGACAGGACTGGCATATAGCAGTACTGCTGTAGGAAAGAAATTAAGGACAGTTAGTATGGGCCTGTGAATTCTGACATACATGTTTAAATCAATTACAATTATGCAAGTAAAAAAAGAATATCCCTACTAATTCATGCAGGCTGAAAGTCTAATTTGTAAACCTGCAGCAGAATCTAATTCTAAGAAACAGGCACCTAATTCTGCTTTTGAAACTCACTCACCTGAGGAAAGCTTCCATCAGGCTCACTATGCCCCTTGTGCTGACCTGCACACTAAAATTAGCAAAACAGACTCCAACTATTAAAAATACCAAAGTCTTTGTATATATACTTTTAACTTTAAGTATGCTTAGAGCAAAGTAGGTGCATTTACTAAACTACATTTAGAGCAATACAGGGGGGAGCTCTAATGTGAGAAACAGTTTCTCAAAAGTAACAAGCCTAAAAGTCTAGGATTTGGAATGAAAACTTTCAATAGTTTGAAAGTATTTTGAGCAGAAAAACACATTTGTTCAAAGTATAGAAAGCGTACCCAAAACAAAAGTAAAAGAAAAACCTTTAACCCTTTGCGTTTCTATGGCATTGGCTCATTATTTTCTTGTCCTTCTACCTGGAAAGAAAACTTGCATTATAAAGATGAAGAAAATGGCATCTGTGACTTCAACCAAATCTATACAAATCTATAATAAGGGGGATTTTAAAAAAGAAAAGCAAATTCATAAGCATGCCAAAAAAAATCAAAGGGCTAAAGACAACTTAAGACAAATAAATTCCTGAAAACTTATAGAAAAGTGGGAAAGAATTACCATCTGCAAAAGGATCAAGACGCTCTGGGGATATTATCATGGTCCGCCTGTGCTTTTTGTATTCATCTTCCCGGTCAGCAATCTTTGGAGGTCGGTGCTCAGCAAATGGATCATACTGAAAAGAGGTATGTCTCATTTAATACCCACTTTATTAAATACCAAAAAGAGTATCATAAACAAAACCCAGAATGTTATATATAAAACATGTAAAAATGTTAAATAAATGCCTACTAATAAAAGAAATATATTTTATGGATGTTAACGTGAAAAAATGACATATGGAAATGAGACAATACACATGTCCGCATCTGCATAGTTCTTCATGAAATGATTACCTTCATAAAACAAGCTAGGTACTATTTCTAATCCTCCCAAATCAACTCAAGACATTCTAATAACTTGTTTCTAAAATATGTGGGCTTCCATGGGAATTGAGACATTGTTTTCCTTATGAATAAACTCTGATTTTAATTTTAAACAGAGGAAGAAGAAAAAGAAAACAATCACCTGTTCTGTTGATTGTGGTATATCATTAAGCAATGCCACAGGGGCATGATATCCTGGCTTCTTCTGACCAAGCAAACTTGTAGATGATGAGTAGTCATCGTCATCCTGCAATGAAATGCCCCCCGGAAAACCACAAAAATGTCAGAACTTAAAAATGAGAAAGAACATGCAAATTCAACATGGCATCGAAACACTTACTGACAGGGGCACCTGGGTGGCTCAATCAGTTGTGTCTGAATCTTGGTTTCGGCTTGGGTCATGGTCTCATGGTTCATGGCTTCAAGCCCTACATCTGGCTATGCACTGAAGGCGAGGAGCCTGCTCGGGATTCTCCCTCTCTCTCTGCCCCTCCCCCTCTCCTTGCGAGTGTGAGCAGTCACTTTCTCTCAATGTTAAAAAACAAAACAAAAAAACAAAAAAACCCAACTTACTGATAAAGTGATGTCTAAACCTTTGTTCATAAAACTTGTAAATACTTAGGTCTTCTTTCAACTCTTAAACCTATTTTAAAGAAATTTTTTACTCTTTTAAAAATATTAAACCAGGAATGCTTTCTGTGGAAGTTAACTGAAATAAAGCAAGTATGGAATTGAAAAACCTGAGCATTTTATTTTCTCACAGAAAGCATAATGAAATTTGTTTTTCAAATTTGGAAAATGCAAACAGCTTATTTAAAACTCTCCAGTTTCCTTGATTTTTTTTAAATGATTTTACTTTTAAGTAATCACTACACCCAACGTGGGGCTCAAACTTACCGCCCCAAGATCAAGAGCTGCATGTTCTACTTGAGACAGCTAGGAGCCCCTCCTTGTTTTTTTTCACTCATTTTTTTTTTTAAACATGATTTAACACAAATAAAATGTAATTAATTTTAAATGTATTTGTTCCCTTAGTAGTATGTTTAAACAGACCAAAGTGATATTCTTACTGTAAGAAGTGCAACAGTGCATTAACTCCCAAGATCTTAACACCTCATTTATTTTAGTCAAAAATGAAATCACAATTTCCTCAGCTTCTGGGAACATATAGCCATCACTGTGTTTTACCATGAAGGTCTAATAATGCTAACAGAAGCCTGACTAGTCTCTGGAAATTGTACCTTTGGAACTTTTATTAAATTTTTCTTAAAAGAAAAAAGTGCCAACTAAAAATGTGGCTTGAATTTCACAAAAACAAGTCTGATAATCTATAACATAAAATGTTTGCTACTGAATCACACAAAAATGACTATTTCACCAAATATGGATGTTTGGCATGGCCTAACAAAATAAGCTCTGTGGAATATATAAAAACATTTTGAAGGACATATTTCAAAATGAGAAGTGGGTAGTCATCCTCCAGAGTAAATGAAAAAGTCCATTAGCATCATTCCATTCATATTAAGACACCAAAGGGAAAAAACACACAACATCAAGCATAAGTCTGAAGTCAAAAGTGGCAAGGACAGATGGCTATCTACAAGAAAGTTGACTCACACTGGCTACTCTAGAGCTCAATAGGTCACAATAGGGATTTATTTTACAATGGTTAATGATTTGCAGGTCCTTTACTAGATAAACTAGTTTTAACATAAAGATTGAGAACTGATCACTTCTAGAAGTTTCTGGATCTTACAGAGGAAGGACACCTAATAGTTTTATCCTTCAAAAGAAAGATTTCCCAATGCCCCAAATCTTCCCAGATTAAATGAGAGGATTAAAATAGAAAATTCCTTTATACTTCTTGCTCTTTGTTAAAAAAATACTTGACTCTTGTACACTTGGTAACTCACATCTTCAAGTTCAGTTGCAGCAATTGATGTCACATATCCAGCAAAGCGGCTGTCACTTCCACCATAAATTTCCTGGTCATAATAACCTGTAGAATCAAGGCCCACTCCTTGAGCTTCATCAAGAGCTGCCTTCTTGCCTTGAATTTCTCGAATCTGTGCTTCAATATCTGTAAGAAATTAAGATTTTCTTAATTTTCTAAACAGACCCAACACAATGCAGTTCTCTAGTAGAAATTATCAAAGTAGTCTTCTAAATACATAAACTTTAAAATAATTATAATACATAAGGAGTTAGAACTATTCCTAGTACTGATTTTTAATACACTTAATACACCTCAACCTCAACAGACAATACTCGTATACAGAAGATATGCTTACCATTTCATCAACCACAATCCACTCTTACCTTAAGAATGGGTTACCAAAGTATAAGTTATTGTTGAATTCCAAACCTTTTCCCAAATGAAAAAATAATACTGTCAATGTTGTTTAGGGACTAAGAACAATATTCAAGATAATTTAAACTCAACAATACCAGAAATGCAAACACAACAGTACTATGGAGTGTGGGTCTCAAACTACATAGAATGTGCAACAAATGGTCTCTAGATTTTGTCAAAATGCAGTAGGCCTGGATCAGACCCAAGTTTCTGCATTCCTAACAAGCTCCCAGGTGATGTCCTAAACATCTAGGATTACACTCCTGGGAGTAAAATAATAAAGGATAAAGTCTAAATTCTTTAGCCTAGAATTCAGAGCCCTACACAGTTTGGCTGCAACTACCATGACATTAGTTTTATGATTAAGAGTCTGAGCTCTGGAACCAAAATGTCTGCCTTCAAATAAAGGCTTTCTCTACTAATTAATGTTATTTCACCTCTGTGTCTCAGTTTCCTACAACTTGAAGTTTTTTTAAGGATTAAATGAGATAATGAACATGAAACACTTAAGCACTCCACCAATGAATTAACTCTTGCCACATCTCACCCTCCAGGCACTGTGTTCTTTCTATCCATTGGTCTGACATTTAGAAGATGGACATTTGATGAATGAAGTTCTCAACCGATTCCCAAACTTCCCTATTTTTAATTTTGACATTTTTCAAGACTAAAAAAAAATTAAAACATACAATGAACATCTACATAGTATTCACCTATTTTCATCAAGTGTTTACATATATATGAGATATAGCAAATATTATATATGTACATGACTTTTCTACACCATTTAAAACCCCTACTATTTCAGCATGTATTTACAGGTCTAAGACATTCTCCTATATAATCAAAACAGTATTAACAGGCTCAAGAAATCATCATACTAGTAACAACCTTTCTAGATGTTCTCTTCTTTGGTCCATGATTCCATCAAGAACCTGGCAAGGCACTGAGTTGTAGTAGTCTTTTTTATTTTATTTTATTTTTTTTAATTTTTTTTTT